GTTATTGAGCAAAATGAATTAAAGAATTCAGAGCAACATACTGTACGTGCATGGCCTTTTACTAGGCCTTCGAGTTCATTTTAACATTTTCTGGAGATGAACACCAGTGGAGCTTCAATTTTGGCACCCGGCCTAAACTACCACACTTTCGGGAAAGACTCTGAGACGGATCAGACGTTATTTCAGAGATCTACCCTCAATCTTTGGCTACAAGTGCCTCTGACTTTGATCGTAGCAGAGAGGTTGATGCGGAAATGTTCTCTACAGTTCAAATGATAAAAGAGATGCGGCGAGCCTTAAGCTCGCGCAGCATGCATAGGAGTTGGTAATTATCTCGATTGGGGCCGCTTGGGCGGAAGTGGTGTAGTGGACAAGTGGCGCGCTTACCACGCGAGCGGTCCGGGGATCAAATCCTGGGTCGTGAGTCGCCCGGGCCAACCAAGCCTTCCATCCCTCCGGGGTCGGTTAATTGGTACCAGACTTGTCTGGGAGGATAAAAACACTGACTTGTACATCGGCTGGCCCCCGCAAGTCATTGTATAGGCCACATCGCATTCAAACGCCACTACGAATGTACAAATGGAAGTAGAATGCGTGCCGCATCCCAAAAAGGGATTGATCAACGGCAAATGCTTTATCCTTTATATTTATCCGCTTCCCAAAATCTTCTGAACCGAATGTAGGCAGATCCTGAGATCAAAAGCGATGCGATTTGCGCTGGCTCCATCTCAGTTAGTGATCGCTTCTGTATGACTGCCCAAATCCTCTGAGCGTACAAAGCTCTCGGTCACTCGTCGCAATCCCAGAGCTGTTCATTCGAACATTCGAGTCGCAACTTCGGAGACTGTTCTTGAGCAACCTCGTGATAATGGGTCGATGAGAAGAGAGTTTCATAGCGATAGTTCAGATCCGCATAGGACCAAGCAGTTCATAGAGCTCCTCATCTGCTTTCGAAAAGTTCCGAAACATTCTGAAAACACTTCACAGCTCAGTACCAGCAAGCTCGTAAAAGCGCATCCCATACAGGAGAGGGGTGCAAAAAAGAGTCACTGTGACGTCACATGACGCACATCATCAAATTTTCGTCGCACAGGGTGCCGTTGTTGATGAAAGTTTTGGAATATTCCTAGGTGTCCTCCCATAAGCAGAAGCAGGCCCTCCTTCACTGCCCCGCCGTCTTCAGAATATGACGTCATCTACCTATCACCGTCAAGCTCAACGAGGGCTACCGTAATCGCTCCAGCCTGAAATAATTTCTTCAAGTCGGTTAACTGGTGAATAGCTTTCTAGAGACACTAGCTGTGACTGTGCAAGACCGCTTTTGACCAGCGTTTCAGGACGTCGTAATGGTCTATGGTACCTCGACGACCTCGTTGAGCTCGTACCGTGAACCATGTTTCCGTGGGAAAATCTTCTGATGTCGTCGGTGTAGAAGGCTGTTGTGTTTTTGATAGATTAGAATGTGCTCTTCAATATGCAATTGAGCTCATTCGGTTTGGTTTTCGCAAAGTGTAATTAATTCTGTTTTGAATGTGGGGGAAAAGACTCTCCTCTCCCTCCCCTGTGTACTTTTCAGCCACTCTGAATATTCTACATACGCACAAATCAAAACTCTCATACATAACCAGCTTCGAAACTAAGTAAAACATCTCAAAGTTCAGCTAAGTAGGGCTAGTTAAGTTCTCAGAAAAATATTTGCGCTCAACAAATTACCAGAGCAAAAACTTATGAAGGAAATCTTACCTGTAAATCTTTTTCAATTGCGTCCAGAAGGAGGAAGGTGTCTTCGGCAGGTTCATAGACTGAGTGTTTTTGAACGGCATTCAGTTTGTACAAAGGGGTTGGCAGTGACATACCTGAAATCTCCAGTTTTTCATCTTACTTTTTCAGTCTATCTCCAAGTCGTCTCCAGCTGAATGAGCTCTATGGAGTTCTCAAGGAAAGCTCGTTCAGAGCTACATAAATCATACTTCCAAACTTGACGAAGCGAATGTGTGTTGGGAGCTTACAGAAAATACATAATGGAAAACAATTGATTTTAAGTAAGACATAGCGGAACGACGGGTAAGCAGAGCAGCACAGAGACTTCAAAGCCCTAGTATTAGTCTAAGTCTGACCTCAAGACGTCCAGGCTCGAAGTACTAATCGTAAGAAGCAGCAATAGCTCGCTTTGAACACAAAATGCGCAAGAACGACTTGAAAGGCACTTGAAATAAAACGATGACAGGCTAAACGTATCGCGTATAAACCAGGGAATCGGAAACGCGCCGAAGGAGGACAATTCAAAGCCGCTCTGACAAGATTGACAGGCAGCATACACTTGTTTGACAGAACCATACATTTCGCGAGCTTTACGGAGGTGGAGCGCTGATACTCAGCAATAAAATTCTGACGACAATGCCCATCGGCTGCTGCAGCATCGGTGGGCATGAATACAGCCCAAAAAACATGATGACATGAATTTGTTATTTTCTAGCAGATGAGTGTCGCCAAGTGTCGAGGAAGAATTTCGCACGCATGCATCCCGTCAAGTTTTGGAAGGAGCTAATTCCAGACTGGGGGATAGGGTATCATATGGCGCACACTTCAAAAGAGCTTTGAATCAAACGGGTCAATTAGAATAAGGTAGGGGCATGAGCTGCGACAGTTCCAGCCGCCTACAGCATTCTAACTTTGCAGGAAGTGGGAGCTTCGCAGTGTGTCTAAAAGCAGATGCGAAATGGGAACAGCTCTATAAAAGAAATTACTGTGCGCGGCAGAAACTACCGCACCACATGTCCCCCTCCCAACCTTTACTGGAAAAGGTCCAAAAATGGGAATATGGGAAAGGAATGTAATCGAGTGTCTAGCTCGAATAGGCTTGGGTCGGAAGTCCGGCTCACATAAAACTCCCCGCCTTCCGCTTTTGCTAACTTCGTTTCAAGAGGAATAGGAGAAAGAGAGCACCAAAGCGAGCACCGGACACCGAGCGCGAAAGTGCAAAGGCATCAACGGCAGAGAAACACGCTTGGATTAGGGGATTCTGTGACGCATTGGAACCTGCGCACTCGAAAGGTTCCTCGTGTTAAATAACGCTGTAGTAGTTTCCTACTTATGGTTAGATTCATTGCAGTCAGTCATAAATTGCATAAATCAGTCAAAGAACTATTCCAGTATACTCAGGTTCCGTGGAGGTCATCCTTATAGACTCCAAGGTGAGCCATCTTCATGCCCCAGCAGTTTGTTGTTGGTGTGTCCTTTTCCACAGAACTGTCAAGCAGAATCGCACTTCGGTGAACGATCCGACATGTTTGCAAGCCTGAAGTCATACTCAGGCCTTCGAAAATGCCGGCAGCTTGAAACTTGAAACGAGACGTGGCTTCAGTTAGCAAATCAGTGAACTGTACCAAACAGCAAGGTCTCAATTATGTATTTGACTGCAATCTCTCTGGCCTACGTCCCCTCTTTGTACGTTGGATCAAAGATGAGCAAAGCCGTATTATATACAAAGTAAAGCCTGTCCACTTTTCAGCAAAAGCTGAAGAATTACAAGGGCATCCCAAGGGCATTCGACACGACGTGACGGAAAAAAAATAGAAATAGATATGGAAATGAGGTGACCAGCCAGAAAGTGCAAGTTGGGCTAACTGCAGTCTGCCTCCAACGAAAATGATGCCTAAATGGTTCCCCTGCCAGTAAAAGAGAAATGCCCGATATTTTTTGGGAGCGATGGAAGGCGAAGATTTGGAGGGATGCCAATGGAACTGTGCCTCTAATAAGAGGTTATAGATGAAGTAATTTGGAGGACGTTCGAACTGATGCAGCCAGTTTGCTGAGAAGAGGTTGCTCAGACGCCATACTTTCTTGTGAAACCACTTTCCGCATGTTGTTAAGGGCACATGTCCGGAACGTTGAAGGGGGCCAATTTTCACATGGCCAACAATTCTAACTATGCCAAAGAAGAGTGAAGCATCTGTCTATGGTTCGCTTGCCGTTGTGACAAAGTTCGCATTTCAGAGCGGCGTCTATAGGTTGGTCCAAACGACCTCAGCTGCAAAGTTGGTGGTATATTATTTACCAGGACTAAGCAACCCTATAAGTGGATTTTTATCCTGGACTGCTGGAGTTATGACACGAAAAATGACAAAAATTGCGCGGCTGAAAAGGGTTAATAATATAGGTGGAATAGAGGAGCTTTTCAGGAGAAACTGTGACGACACCAGTCAAGCGAAGTGGCAGCTGGACTCCGTCAGACAGAATAGCACAAAACGTGACAGACACTGACAAACAACCTAAGCGGTCAGGGACTATCTAGAAATTGAAATGTTTGATTAATGACAAGTCATACGTTGGCCGAGAAATTCGTTAGAGCTGAAAAATGAATTCTCGAGATATGATGGATTCCTTGCTTTCACATACGTATGAATGACCACAAATCTATAGCTCGAGTATTATGCTTGGGAAAATCGCACTTGATAGGCGATCTCATGATTGTTAACAACAATGACTGAATTCCCAAAAAATGAGGACATTCTCGTAAGTGTGCCGTGCGTGCAGTGCGAAATTCTCCAAGGACCACGCCACAGCGGGACCGGCGGGGTGGCGAGATCTCATCAGCGGCATAGCTCAGCCATTTTTACTAGACATGCCGACAAACTGCCCTCGATGACTTTTGATCTTTTTGCGCGCTGTCGTCTACGATCCAATTTGAGACTTTTTCGACACCCATTTGCCCGTGATTGCAGATAAACAATTGGTGAGTTAGTTAGAGGGTGAGTAAAAGGATTGTGGCTGGTTTGCAAGCAGTGCGAGGCCAGTGCTCAGAGATGAATGGGCAACGGATCACAATGTTCCATGACCACTCTCCATTAATCTCGGTATAATGACAGAATTGTCTAGCTGTTTCTGCTTAAGCCTCCGAGTTTGATATTACCTATGGTTCCTCACAATGTTTTGAGTACGGGACTAGTATCTTCTTTCCGCATTCTAAAAGCAACATTAGGAAAATTGAATCCGTGCAGAACAGTTTCACCCGGAAAATCTTAACTCGAGCTCTTGGATTCAATTATAAAGCGATACCCAGAGGCATTATCAGAAATAAAATGCTAGGGATCGACTCTCTTTCATACAGGAGGGAAGATGTTCGATCTAATCTTCGTTTTTAAGAAGCTCACAGATAACATTCCAAGA